GCTTATTTTTTTTCCATCAAATTGTTATAACTGGCATTACATAATAGATTTTAAATAAATGGGCACACTTGGACCATTCTTCACTCTAGTGGGGCCACTCTAATGACCTCCAAGGCACAGCACAAGGACTCTTGTCTCCCATTTCCAGTGCATGCACTACGACCATTTTCTCTATACCAGCATGTGCTCAGAAAAAAAAAAAAGAGAGTAAGACATTAACGTCAGTGTAGGAAGGAAATAAGTGTTCATGAATGTACAGGATAGGATAAAGGAGGGAAATTATCTTTTCTCTACAGTAAATAAAAAGAGACTTATCAAGAATCGGTAGAATTTGATGTCTTAAGCTTTGAGGTTGCATTTGACAGAAATTGGAACTCATTGTCATTTGATTTAAAAGAAAGGGATTATAAAATCTTCCACTTCACCATAGCAGGAGTTATGTGGTTATCTAGGGAAAAACATATTATGATAGTCCAAAGGACCGTCTTGGACTATTTTCCCTTTTGTCTAGTTTTCATTGCCATATTCTTCTCTTTTCCTCCATTTATCACATTGCTGAAAATTGAGTCAGAGATTTATTTATTTAAGATATAACAGATGTCTGATACATCAAGCATAGTAATTGGACCAAATATGACACTAAAGAAAATCTAAAGAAGTAATGTGTACACTATAAATAAATGTCAAAGATTATGAATAGATAAGATCCTCTTGGGTTTTCTCTGTTCCAACATGGGCTACAACTTAAAGAAAAAAATCTGTCAATAAAATAATTATTTGTTTTCACAATCACTGTTTTATTTAAAAAATAAAATGGAGATGGAATATATTTTAATATATGGTATTTTGAGCAACTACAATTTAAAATATAGCTTGTTTCTCAGACATTGGGAGAATAACATTTAATTTTATGTGTTTTACATTGATGCAGATTCTGTTCTTTCTGTCTGTAGATAAAATGGGCCTAGAAGTGCATTTTTCCTGAAATATATAGTAATTAATACATTTCATTAAAATAAGATAAAATATTCATGCATGTCCCATAGCACAATTGTAATTTGTCTTAAATTATCACTATATATAATATAAAATACTTTACTAGAGATTTTAATTATATAAAAACCATAATGCTTATATTAAAATTAGAAAAATTAAGAAAATATCATGATCTCAATACGAAGCTAAGTTCCCAGAAACATTAAATAAATTAAGAAAGGCATGATGTCATTATGTTTTCAAAATATTGTATAGAAAGAATCACTAGGTTTGAATTCTTAGGTTTGTTTTGCTCGCTGTCAAAAACCTACATTTATGGATGATGATAATATTATTAAAAAAGAAAATTATAACAACTTAATCTTTTGCTTTTGAGATGATTCAAACAAAAGAAAGAATTCAAACCAAGTGATTCTGTATAACATTTTGAAAACACAAGGACATCATGCCTTTCTTGATTTATTTAATGATCCTGGGACTTTAATTCTAGTAAACTTCCAGTTTCAAAAACAAAATTATAAAGCATATGTAAAAGAGACAATGATGCAAAATTGCACAATTACCTGTCTTAATTTTTAAAACTCAGAAATTTTAGTTTGAGTCACATAATCATTTTTTTCTCAAGAACATTTATATGAATGCAACTTGATTTGAAAAGTAATTTGTGACCTGAGACATATAAAACTGTATGTTTTGATGTGACAAGTTTTAAACTGTATAGTAAAAGCCAGCTGAGAGCCTTCACTCATCGAGTCATCAACACATAAAATTGAAAAAAAAAATTCTTTAACTGAATTATTATTTAACCTTTTATTATGGGAAATGCATTATTTAATGTTTTCCAAAATATAATGAGACATCAAATTGAAAGTACATACTACAAGTCAATCTAAAATCATGACATTTAATTGGTAAATGTGGCCAATCCCTTCAACATTCATAGTGGAGATGAATAAATTAAAAAGGCATCAAAATGGAAGATAGGTGACCCTGCTAAAAAATTGTTAATTGCATTTGTCTACTTTTAAAAATAAATCTTACATTGAATTTCATATGTGAACTATTTTCTAGTACTTTTTTTTTTTTTTTTTTGTAGAGATAGGGTCTCAAACTCAAGCATTCCTCCTGTCTCAGCCTCCAAAAAGTGCTACAACACCTGTCCTCTAGTCTTTCTATTTATAAGTTGGAGATATAATAGCATTTAGGGTGAGTGGTGGAAACTTTTGCAGTTTTTCCTGTAACTATCTGACTCAGCATCAGCTGAAAATACCCTTGTATTATTTTAACATTTTCCTTTCCCCTACTAAATAATGTGTCACTCTGGCTATGCCCTGAGCTGCTGACTCAGTTCTGTCTAAGATGATGCCTAGGGATCTTAAGCAATGATTGAAAATGCAGGAAGTTTTCCCCTTAGAAAAGCCATGGTTGGCCGGGTGCAGTGGCTCACACCTGTTACCACAGCACTTTGGAAGGCCGAGGCCAGCAGATCATGAGGTCATGAGATCGACACTATCCTAACACGGTGAAACCCTGTCTCTCCTAAAAATACAAAAAATTAGCCAGGCACCGTGGCAGGCACCTGTAATCTCAGCTACTCCAGAAGGCTGAGGGAGGAGAATTGCTTGAACCTGGAAGGCAGAGGTTGCAGTGAGCCAAGATCGCACCGCTGCACTCCAGCCTGGGTGACAGAGTGAGGCTCCATAGCAAAATAAAAAAGAAAAAGAAAAAGAAAAGCCCAGGTTTTGGTAACTAAATGCACAGACTATTGATCCACAACTTTTAACCAGTTTACTTTAAATAAAGGGAGTTCTAGGCCTTTTACCTTTTATATTTTTTAGCCACAGCAAAATGTTTTATTGTTTTATCTGTTTTACGTTCTACTGAACTTACTTTTAATTATTATATTTCTTTTAGCTCTTTAATACTTAATTTCAGTTTTTTCAAATGCAGAAAAATACTCTTATGAATTCCCTGAGTAACTTGCATTTTTAATGAGGAAGACAGACAGCCTTTTGCTTCTAATTAGTTCTGTAAAATCCTTTTAATGCTTTGAAACAGATACCCTTTTGGGGTCTCAAATGACACCTTTGCCCTAAAACACAGTCTTTTGGAGGAAATGGATGGCATAGACCTTAAATCACTGCTCCTGGCAGTCACTGAGACTTTTGGCTAAGGATTTCTTCCCACAGGAGCAATAAGCACCAACTCACAGACAGCTTAGGATAAAGACTAGATTATTGTTGCTTTCTAATTTCTGAGCCCATTCAGTTCTTGGTAAATGAGTTCACAAATTTAAGATAATTTTCTGACAGTGGCAAAGCCTTCCATTTAGCCCATAGCATGGGGTAAAAATAAAATCAGGAGTCATCATAATTCCTTTGTAGATATATATCTAAAAATAACCACTCCATAAAAGGTTTTATAAGCTACAAATATTCCAATGTAGTTTCTATTTTATTTTGAATTTTTTATTTTGAATTATTTTTCTTATATTTTTTCTTTCTTCAAGCCATATCAAATTAATTTTTCCCTGGCCAAATATTTAATAAATCTACTGACTTAAAATGTCACCTTTTTCAAATATTACTTTTCATACAAACATGATACCTTGCATACTGTTTCATTTTTACTTTTGTGTTTTCTGGTACCAAGGCCTCATAATTTGACTTTTATGAATTTCTAATATATATTCTACTTGATAAACTTAGATGCCTTTTTTTTTAAGTGAAATATATCCCATTGAAACTTCGATTTGCTTCAATTATGTAGGTCAATTTGAAAATAGCTTCTATCTTTATAGAATTATTTTATTTGTTCTGAAATATGTGTCTCTACCTATTAGCTTCTTGAATGCCCTTTAATGAAATTTTTTACCAATGTCTCTTTCTTAGTCTGTCTGTCTCAAATGCTTCTCATTATGTTTGTTCAAAATACTATGTTCTTTTGTTTCTGTTATGAATTATATCATTTTTTGCCATTATATTTCTAAATGACTCTTTGTTGTATTAAAGAATTTGCCATTTACTCTGTTTTCTATTGCTTAGAACAGAATACCTGAAACCGAGTAATTTGTGAAGAAAAAGAATTTCTTTTTTACAGTTTTAGAGGCCGAGTACTCCAAAGTTAAGGGGCCACGCCTGATGAGAGCCTTCTTTCTGGTGGGGAATTTCAGCAGAGTTCCGAAGCTGCCTAGAGTATCACATGATGAGGGGGCTGTTTGTTAGCTCAAGTCTCTCTGCCTCTTCTTATAAAGTCAGCAGTCCCATTTGCATGATAACCCATTAATCCATGAGTGGATTAATCCATTCATGAGAGCGAGCCATCAGGACCCAATCACTTCTTAAAGGCTCCACCTTTCAGTACTGACACATTGGGGATTAAGTTTCAAAATGAGTTTTGGAGTGGACAAACATTCAAATGAAAGCATCACCCCCATTCAAAGTTCTTTAGTTCTACCAATTTTTCTGAGTCCTTGCTTTTTTGTTCTTGCAAATAATTATATATGCAAATAATGTGGGCTCTTTTGCTTTTCCCTTATCTAAAATTTATTTTGGTAGTTGTATAATGTGGCAACTCCTTTTACAGTTAGTTGCATAGTGTTGCAACTAATAAAATATTTTATTCGTTGCACTTCTGAAACAAATCTAAGTCAGTCACAGTGGTGTGGACTTCTACCATGTTGTTTCCAGGCTACAATTCAGAAGTGTGCAAATTTGAGCAACCTATGGAAACACATCATGTGCAGGCTTGTGTCTGCCTCCAGCAGGACTCTCGTAAGTACTGAGCTGCAAAGAAATATATACTATATTGTATCTTTTTGTATTTTTTAAAAAGAATACTGAACCATTTAAAGAATTTTGTGATTAAAAAGGTCTAACAAAAAGGTTAGTTTCCTGGTTGATTTTTGTCTCTTTAAAAATAGGCAAAGTAGAAAAGAAAGGTAGAGGGTATAAAATGCAGCAATGCCTTCCCAGGAAAGAGAGCAACAAGTGTTTCTCACTTAGGTTAAGGATACAGATGGATAACTGTTAACTGGAGCTCAGAGTACACACTTGGAATGGAAGAGGTTGGAAAGCTGGGAAGAATGGATGGCATGGTCCTAGAAAGGGCTGGAAGTGGAACACAACAGCCACCAAGAAGCCAAACACCTGGATACAGTATTACAAGTAGAGACCTCAGTCACCCTGACACTTCTACAACCAGGAGAGAACTTTAAAAAATGGGAAGTTGTGAGTATTGTCTGATTTTTACTTGCCTTCTGAAAATGTAAGATTTTATTTATCATTCTGTGTTATTATTAAACAACATTCTATGAAATAAATCTCAAGAATTTCTGCAAGCAGGAATGTTGACTGTCTAGTACAATTTGGCTTACTGAACTTTATTGTCAATGTGTCAAGTAAAGTTTAATTCTTTCATTTAAAAAAAGATAGACAAGATGATGAGTAGGGAGCTGTTTTCACTTTGACTTGAGCTACCTCACAATCTGAGAACGACACTTTACATAAGTGTCTAAATATTATATCCTATTTTTCTACTGGGAACATCACCTGATAACATTTTTATCAGTTAAATCTCCTGATCAGTGTGTCTTTTTGGTCAGTTTGATAATGAATTTTTTCTTACCTATGAAATTAAACCCATGATAAGCACCACCAGCTCCTCTGTCATCTTATACTGTTTTCCTCTTTGTATATTTAGCTCTATGTAAGTTTTCTCAGGCAGTTTGATCTTTACTCTCAGTTAATCTCCAACTCACTAGTAATAAAACCTTATCATGAGACATTCAATCATTCACCTACTCTTTCATGCATTACAAAAATATCCATTTACCATATACTATGTCTCAGGCATTGTACAAAGTAGTTTGTTTTAAGCCACTAAATTCAAGGTCTGCAAAATGCTAAGATAATATTTGTCTTTAGTGGTGTTATTGTGCAGCCCAAGCATTTCAGTAATTTCCTAGCCTTGACTCAATTCACCTGCATACAACCTTATACTCCATATGTACACCAAAAATCCTGGTCGGCCAGGACTGCACATCCACTGAAACTAAAACAATATGGGAATCTATTCAGCTTTACACAACAGGGACAACAGAGTGTCATAAGGAAACCAGCCTCCAGATCAATCCTGTTAAGCCTTGTCTGTGAACATCTGTATTATCTATTATTTAAAATGAAAATGCTCACTAACTGCCTACTGTGCTCAGGCAAGCCACATACAGCAGAGAAGTGGACCTAGTAGAATATAATAATGGATGGTGGCAAATTGGAAAATGCACACTCACTTTAAAGGGAACAGCAAGCTACCTAACCACAAATTGTTGTCTTGCAGGATTATGGAACCAACGTGGTCAGATTTGTTTTTTGAAACCCAAAATTTAACTTCTAATGTCTCAATTTTTAAGGTGCAGGTATAATTTAATACATCTACAAATCAAATAAAGTGTATATACTTATAGTAATTCTATTTTTTACATAAAAAGAACTTTCATTTCAATAGTTGACTAAACTAAATTAAAAATTGATCGACAAGCCTATTATCTTTACTATCAAATAACACAAAATAGAAAAACTTATGTCAATATTTTAAGCTAATTTAGATAAGTAAGAACATTTTTAAAATGAAAATAATAAGATAAGTTAGTGACTAATTTCTCTGTCTACATAAAATGAACACAGAAGTTCTATGTCAGAAAATCATAAAAGAATTAAAAGGTAAACTTCAAAGCAGAAATAAGATTTCCCAGTAATATCTGACTCTCATACACCACCAATGAGACTATTGATTGCCTCCACCTTTCTAAGAAACAATTTGACAATATATATCAAGAAGGATAAAAATAATATAAGCTTTGACCTAGTGAACCAATTTCTAAGAATTTATACTAAGGAGATTGTTTGAAATAGTTTCATGTACAATTAAAATTTTATTTACATGGGTGATTATTCTAGAATATTGATCACATCACATAAACTATTTCTCATGTTATTTATTACATCAAATATTGGAAATAGGCTAACGTCCAGCATTAAAAAGGATAAATAATCATAACCAATTCAATAGAAATTATTTTATACTCTTCATAACACGATGGTTTTAAATATTTTTTAAGATATAAGGCAAATACTGATATTTAACTTAGCTTTTTAAAATATCATATAAAATCACCTACGATCTACCACTGGTTTTTGATGACTGCTTGCAGATTAGAATATACCTTTTGGAAATGTTCCTGAATGCCTCTGAGCATAGCACATGAATATGTATATCTTACCACTTTGTTTTTCCCTCCCTTCTCACCTTCATCCTCTTCTCTCTTTCTCATTATACACTAAGCAATGTATCAGAGATATATTCATGGTTCATTATATTTTTTAGTGTAATTTTAGATGAGTATGCAACATTCTTTCGTATAACAAATACAAACATAAACATCTAATCCCTTATTTATTGTTTTTTAGGTCCTCTGCAGTTTTTTGTTGTTGTTGATGATGATCTTCCTGTCATAGACAATGCTGTAATGAACAGACTAGTAAGTATAACTGTATAAACTCCAGCAACTTTTTCCTGTAATGTTTCCTAGTTGAGAGGTTACTGGGCAAAAAGCAGACACATATAAAATTCTAATAGATATTCTTAGATTTTCTGTAAAGTTAGTACCAAGTTACATTTCTACAAGTAGTGTACCACAGTATATGTTTTTCCCAGTACTAAATATGAGCAAAGTTTTTTGAATTACGCAAACCTGATAGTCAAAAAAACCTCATTATTGTAACTGTGTGATCTTGACTACTAGTGAGGTTAAACACCTTCTTTTTTTTTCTTTTGCTTTTTGACAATAACTTTCATCTTAAATGAATTACCATTTATTTATTTATTTATTTATTTATTTATTTATTTATTTATCTATCTTAGACAGGGTTTCACTCTGTCTCCCAGGCTGGAGTGCAGCAGTGCCATCATGGCTCACTGCAGCCTCAACCTCCTAGACTCCAGTGATTTTCCCACCTCAGTGTCCCAAGTAGCTGGGAGTACTGGCATGCACCACCATGCCTGGCTAATGTTTGTATTTTTCTTTTTATAGAGAAGAGGTTTCACCATGTTTCCCAGGCTCATCGTGAACTCCTGGGCTCAAGCTCTCTGCCCACCCTGGCCTCCCAAAAGCTGGGATTACAGGCATGAGCCATTGTGTCCAAGCTGAATTATCTATTTATATTCTATGCCCATTTTTATTATAATATTTGCGTTTTACATAATTTCACAAAAAGTTTTAGTCAAAATTAGGAAAGATTATTACGAAAGATTATTTCTAAGGAATATCATAATGAGTATTTTAACATTGAATTTTAAATTTTTTTCATTTAAAATTTTATACATGTATCATTTTTATGCTATAAAATTATATAACCATTTTACTTAAAAGGGAGTAAAGAATATGATGATCAGCATGTAAGTCACAAAACAATATAAAGGTTTCATATGATAGAAACCCATTTTTATTCATATAAACCTCCTGTAATTCAAGGTTCATTTTTCTTTTTACCAGTTATTTGACTCCAGCATCACTCATACAGCATTTCTGTATGTCTTGATAAGTCCACAGGTTTTCTACATTTCTTGAGCTAAATCGTGATGAAGCAGATGATAATCTGAGGCTTTCCTGCTATATTGTGAAAATCTGTCTGTGCTTGTAATAAAGGCTTTATCTCCACAGCACCTAAAGTATGTGTCAAGGGTGGATAAATGAAAATCTTTTTTTTTTTAAATGGAAAATACCATATTACACGAATTATTTGTGTGAATTACTCATTTCTTTATTTTAATATAAAGTATACATTAAGCCTTCTAGAAAAAAACTTTTGTTTGTTTTCAGAGGTAAAGAAAAACAATACACTTTTGAAATTAATAGACAAGAGAAAAAAATAACATATCTCAAATAGAATTGGGCTAGTATAGTGCTGATTATCTCTCTCTGTTGTATGGTTTACATTATGTGTTTGTTTAGAAACATCATTTTACTAATCTTTGGGATATTATAGCCAAGGTAGTCTGCAGAGTTTTGCTGTTCAATTTATCTTATCTTTAATATTGATTTGTGGGCTCTTAGGGCCATCAGCTATACTACGAAAAGGTCCTCTTTTGTTGCTCCTTTGTCATTTACTTCTTGTTTCCAATCCATCAGCACATTTTTTATTAAGTTCCTATTTTGTTAAAGGCAAGACGCTAAGCAAAAGGCAACGAATTATAGAAATTACAACCTGCCCTTTAAAAGCTCGTAGTCTGTGCGGGAGTGGAAGGACTATAATATTTAAAGAGAATTAAGATAATTTAATAAGAATTATTTCAACAATAAACATTGAAGATTTTGTTTTCATTTTGTTACTTGTTTACATGTTTTTACCTGGAATAAAATATAAATGTTTTAGTGCCCATAGATAAGAGAGGTGATAGGGCAGTGAATAACATGTGTGGCTATAATATGGTTGTAGGTATAGACTGTATATAGAAAAATAAGGAGAAAAAAACAAATTCTGAAAGACTCAGAAATAAATCTATTACTGAAACTATTTGGTGAAGACTAAGCTATTGAAATGTCAATAATTGATTTAACATACATTATTTAGCATTGGTCTCTTTAATTGCAGGTAGCCAAAAACTCAATTGCGAAATTGTTGTTTCCAAAAACTAAATGGGAACTTATTGTTTATTTGATTGAACACGGAGATCTTTCGTGACTCAGCGATGGCTGAATTCAGAGGACAAAAGATTGGTACAAGCAGTGACTTTTCTCCATCTCTTGGTTCTGTCTGCCTCTGTTTTGGCTCTGGTCAGACAAGCATGCCCCACTGTGGTGCAAAGAAGGCTATGGAAGTGTCAGCCTCCTATCATTCTGGGTCTTAGTATATATAGATGATATGTTTTTTTCTTTTTTTTTTCTTTTTTTTTTTTTTTTTTTTGAGTCAGAGTCTCGCTTTGTCGCCCAGGCTGGAATGCAGTGACTTGATCTCGGCTCACTGCAAGTTCCGCCTCCCGGGTTCACGCCATTCTCCTGTCTCAGCCTCCCCAGTAGCTGGGACTACAGGCGCCCGCCACCGCACCTGGCTATTTTTTTGTTTGTTTGTTTTTTAGTAGAGACAGGTTTTCACCGTGTTAACCCGGATGGTCTTGATCTCCTGACCTTGTGATCCGCCCGCCTCGGCCTCCCAAAGTGCTGTGATTACAGGCGTGAGCCACCACGCCCGGCCGATGATATCTTTTTAAAGTCAAGTTGAAAAAAGCCCCAATTCAATGCTTCAAATCAAGGAGCATGCCTATCTCTGAGCCAACCTCTGTTGATGGGAAAACAGAATGCACTAAATGGCTAAAGCCTGAGTCAAATATATACCCCTGAAATAGGGGATTTAACCAGCTCCACCAAAACAAGCAAACTGAAAGTGGGGTTTGCCACTCCTGAAAGGAAAATAAAAAAACAAAATGATTTGTAGATGATCTACAAGCAGTAAGCTTGATGATATGAAGCAAGAAAATATCAATTAGGTGATTGTGGGGATTCATCTTTAACACTTAGAGTTCACATACTTGTATGTTTTGTTTGAACATATGAATAGAATGTTAACAAGGTAGCCAACATATCTAAATGTTGTTTAAAGAAGAGAATTTCAATGTTAGGTGGAGTGTTGGGGAATAAGCACACAGGTAAAATGTTAAGAAAAAAAATCAGTAGGCAAATTTAACAGTAAATATCAACATTTTTATAACTGCTTCACCATTTTACCCATAGTCATATCTTGAAATTCATCATAACGAAAAAATTGGTCAAGCAAAAATGAATATATATGTTTATTGCATATGCTTAATATCAACATGGGAAAACCACTAAATGATGAATAATAATTAATTGAATAACCCATATAGTGAAATACTTTGGAAGCACTGAATATCATAATTAGTTTTTTGTTTTTGTTTTGAGACAGAGTCTTGCTCTGTCACTTGGGCTCAAGTGGAGTGGCACGATCTTGGCTCACTGCAACCTCTGCCTCCCAGGTTCAAGCGATTCTCCTGCCTCAGTCTCCAGAGTAGCTGGAATTACAGGCATGCACCACCATGCCTGGGTTATTTTTGTATTTTTTTAGTAGAGATGGGGTTTCAACATTTTGGCCATGCTGGTCTTGAACTCCTGTCCTCAGGAGATCTGACCACCCAGCACCCAAAGTGCTGGGGTTACAGGTGAATGTTATAATGAGTTTTTATAAAATAAACTATTGCACAAAAAAGTTAAAAAAATAGTGTGTGTAATATGATCATATTTACATACATTAATTCTTGGAGAAGGTTTGGAAGGTTGTTTACTAAGATATTTTAAAATTGATTATGTCTATATTGTGGGGCTAGAGGCAATTTTTGTTTTTGCTTAGTTGCATTTTCTATTTTGTGGAATAAAAAATGTAATTTTAAAATTTACAATAATAGAGGGAAAGGAAAATTTCTTGATTTTTCCATTTCAAAGTAAAAGACAATTTCAATGACATTAAAAATAAATGAGTGTTAGCATAGTTTGAGTATTTTAGCTTTATTTCTTTAAAATACATGCAGAATATGGCACATCAGTTAGCAAAAGAAAAAAAAGTGACCTCTGTGTGTAGGCTTGTGTATGTATGTGAATACACATATATTTACACATACATTGTACAACTCTCACCTAGCTTTTATTTTTTTTTCCAGATTTTATATTATAGTTAGTTTTAACTAAATGCCAGCTTTTTTCCCCTATTACCAAGCCACTGAATTACATAAAACGTATAAGATGGAGCATTGCTATTGTGCATCTGGAATATACATGAGCCAAAGAACCATGCAATTGCGAGTAAGAAGAGAATTACAGTTTTAGCCTCAAAAGACCCTTGATCACACATCACTCATTTTGAAATATAACCCTTGAAGAAAGCGAAATAAGACTTTGAAAGTTTTATTGGAAGATATTGCCAATATCTTGCAGAATAAAATCTACCATGTTTCCAAATATTTATAATAACTGACATAAAAAATAAATACAACTATCTAAATCCAAATAACTTTTGATTTAAAAGGAAAATATAACTTAAAGAGGTGCATGAGGGAATCACAGAATGTCAAATCTGGAATGTCTTAGAGATCATCTAGTTTTAATCTCATATTTTATAAATATGACCAGCTGGAAACCATGATGCAAAATGACTCACCTGAAGTCCTGTAGCTCAGTGAGGGAAAATTCGAGACCAGATTGCCTGACTCACAGTCCTTTGCTTTTGTTGTTAAGCTACACTGCTAAAGCAACCACAAATGAGCTCAGTACTCCTTGGATTTTCCTCCCTGTGAGTCTGGAGAAACAATGATTTGGCTTGTGCTGTCAAATAACAGATATAGCCTTTGAGTCAAGTAAACTACTTATCTCACAGTTTATTTACTGTGTAACTTTGGACACATTAGTTAAGCTCTCTGAGCCTCACTTTTCTCATGTTTTAAATGTTTAAATACTATCTTCATAAAAGTATTGTGAAACCTTTATATTTTGGAGATTACATGTATAAAGAACCTAGTATATACCAGGTTTTAAGTAGATTGGCCTATTTCCAGTGTTCCCAGACTATCTTGCACAGGACTAAAACTGATCAACCTGTCAACTTCTTAAGAATACTGATAAGGTAATTACCTTCAGTATTCTTTTTCAGATGGCCCTTAAATTTTGCCTAGGATACAAGATACTGATTCTTAATTCTCCGTTTACTGTATTTAGCAATCTCTTTTATTTCAGAAAATCTGACTTTTTATTACAATGGAAAGGGAGATTTCACATTGGTCAATTTGAAAATGAGATAACATAGACATTCTGTCAACCATGTTTTGTCTAAATTTCCAGAATGTGCATTTCATCTTTTTTATTCTAGAAGATAATGTATGTGGGCATTTCTTTTATTAGGCTTCATAATCTCTCTCTCTTTTTTTTTTTTTTTTTTTTTTTTTTGAGACAGAATCTTGTTCTGTCACCCAGGCTAGAGTGTGGTGGTGCAATCTCGGCTCTCCATGACCTCTGCCTTCCCGGTTCAAGTGATTCTGTTGCCTCAACCTCCAAAGTAGCTGAGAATACAGGCACTCATCACCATGCCTGGCTAATTTTTGCATTTTTAGTAGAGATAAGGTTTCATCATGTGGGCCAGACTGGTCTCGAACTCCTGACCTCAAGTGATCTGCCCACCTCAGCCTTTCAAAGTGCTGGGATTACAGGTGTGAGCCACCATGCACGGTCCTAATCATTTAAATAAGCTTAATTTCTATTTGCTTCAAGATGGGTTATCTACAATGTATGTTTCACTGTCTTTATTTAAAAATACACATCTTTATTAAAACTACACATAGTTAAAACTACACTTATAGAGGTGATTAATCGTTATTAATATCTGGGGAGACTTATTGATACTATTTCTTTACATTAAGCTATTTTAAGATCTCATTTTGAGCAGTAAAAGTTTAATATATAACTGAGGTAGTATCTCTCAGGCTCTAACCACCACTTCAGGGATGTATATCCCATTAGAATCAAGGAAATGGAATACAACCTCAGAGAGACCTTAAAAGTATCATGCTGAAAGCAAAAGGCATTTTCAACAGTCCAAGAAATCATAATGAGATTCCATCATCAGGGTTTGCAAAAACCACCAGAATAACCCCTTAGCACCGAGAGTACCCTTTTGGCATAGAAAGGAAAGTACTTAATGGGATGAAAAAAGCTGTGGGTTCCATTGTGAATAGATCATTCTAGGAAGTGCTTAGATGGGAAATACTAAGTAGAAGTTACCAGGAAACAGATTTCAGCCTGTAAAATGAAGAACACTTAAATATTCAGAACTTTTTAAAGCTGCCAAGGAAATGGTGAATTTTTTGGCACACATCTCTTCATGAAAAGATTGGTATATTTAAACGTGCTCCATCATTTCCCTAAAATATGAAAAATTATCTTATTCAATTTATTTTAAGGAAAAGTAACAAAACACAGTATTAAAAGTGATTCTTAGATTACAATAACTTTGAAATCTTCTTTACTATGATATTAAAAGGAATTTGCAATGTTAAAATATAATACTGTTTAACATGTATTTTAAAAAATCAGCTATTGGTTTAGTACTTGAAAATAGCTTTAAGTTTGACTGTGCAATGATCTTTAAAACCATGATTTTTATAGACATTAACCTGATACTGTGTTAAAATTAAAATAACCATTATATTTTAAAATTAAATCAAAGCAGTTATAATATTTTAACTAATTTCTTAGGTTTGTTAATTTCTCGGTTTTAGGTAATTAGATTAGCTTCGACTAATTTCTTAAATTAGTGGCAAACCCAATAAATCCAATGCAAGTCTTTATGTTTATCTTTTTGTGTTGAGCACATATATGCATGCACTTGTATTTTGCAGTTGGATATTGAATAAATATAAGAAATTCTCCATAGATCTGACTGGATTTAGAGAAGGAAAATGTAGTAAAACAGAATTGTGATGCATACTTATTTAATTAACTGTATTATTTCCAGAAAAATTCTGTCAATTAAAATAATGGTTTAAAAATAGTAAAATATTAAAAACAATAATAATGAAATGATACTTATTTGTTAAAATCTTTGCATATATTACTTATAAAACATATTTCTTATTTCTTTTTATTACATGAAGAGGTGCGAAGTCAGGAGTAGATTTTGAAAGGAAATTCAGGACACATAACTTCCCTGTAACATAACATACCGAGAGCTTAGATCAAGTTGTTGTAGTTCTTGAAATATTTAAACCTGGATGATTAATATAAGTTCTCTGGGGTTCAGTGTCCTCATTTTTAAAACAAGTATGTTCAAACTTCAAATGATATTATAAGCTAACAACACACATAAAAACAAACCAAAGCAAAACAACTGAAAA